TAGGGGGTGGATGGTAGTTGTCAGTTATGTGAACTGTTGAACACATAGCTAACAATGTACCACATCATTTTACCTCCATGGACTTCCCCCTGGAAACCATCGTGATAAATTCCTGATGTATTTGACACGATGTGCTAACTGACCTGATCTCATGCTCGTATCATCATCCCCCACTGGTGCCCCGCCAGCGTAAACCGTTAGCGCAGAGGGTGCACCATTTCATTATCATATACAAAAAAAAAGATTTATTGGGGGATTGGGGTTGAATACATTGCAATGTACTACAGAGCTGTATGTGTTGCCAGAGTGAGAGAAAGTTGTCGATCTCTTTTTAAAAAATTAAACATCCTTCCATTGCTATGTCTGTATATTAAAGATATTTGTATAGTTGTAAGGAAACATCCTATTTTAAGAAATTAACAGACACAACACTGCGAGTAACGAGACCTAATGATAGACTATACACACCAATGTGTCGATTAGACTTACATAAGAGAAATGTATACTGTATGCCAATCAAAGTGTACAACAATCTTCCAAGAGAGATTAAAGAACTGGGGTCTCATACGTTATTCAAACGCAAACTAAAGAATTGTCTGTCACTTGGTAATCTTTACAGTGTCCAAGAATATTTAAGTAACACAAACACCTTCACGTAATTTGCATGCCTGTATGGTAAATATTGCTGATTATTAGATGATGAATATATTTTTAATACGAATATTGTTTTATTTTTGTTCATCAACTTTATCCTTCACTAACAATACTAGTAGTAGTACATAACCTGGTTTATACCGCTAAAGATATTGAAAGATATACGAGTAATTCAGAATGTTAATGATGAATCAATTTCATGTAACTTTATATTAATTACTAGCTGTACCCGCGACTACGTCCGCGTGGATCCTTTATTTTTCTAAAATAAAAGTTTAGCCTAAGCCTAAGTTACTCTGTATTACATCAGCTACCTGCCAAAAAAAGTCCCGTTAAAATCTGTTCAGCCGTTTCAGAGATTAGCCGGAACTAAACCAAACAGAACGAAAATTTTAAAAAGTGGTTTTTTGGTGTGTATACCGTATTTATAATCATATGCATGCAGTAAAAAACTGTTATTTCAATATTGCAAACAGACATGCCAATTTTATTTATATGTATAGATAATACTGTACTAATATTTCGCATATAAATTATTTCATTTCATTTCAATGTACATGTCATTTTGACATGGTACATACATCGTACATTTGTGATGAATTTCTGGTGACTTATCACGATGGGGTAACTGACCTGACCATTCTTCACTGGTGCCCTCCATCGTAAACCAGCGTAGCGCAGGCGAGTGCCATTTTCATACATTAAAAAAATAGGTTTAAGTGCAATAGTGAGTAAAAAAGACTCCTACCTAACTTTAGTAGGGGGTGGAAGGGGATTGTGGACTGATGATCATATTGCTAGCAATGTACCATGTCAGGTTGATCTCCACGCGGTTCCCCCTGGAAATCATCGTGATAAATTCTTGGTGAATTTATCACTATGGGCTAACTGATCTGACCTCACCTTATCATCCTCCACTGGTGCCCCGCCAGAGTAAACCGTTAGCGCAGGCGGGTGCACCATTCCATTATCATCCATAAAAAAAATCTAGTAGGGATTTCATTTCGCTTGTGAATTTGTATAAACCTTTCTTTTATGATGTTTAAATTTTTTAAGAATGCAGAATGCAATCAGGGACACATTCAGAATAAGACCTACACTGGATAAGCTAGTTTAAGCACGACTTAGATGGTATGTCCATGTTATGAGGAGACCGGAAGACCACTTGACGAGAAAAGTCCTCGACCTCAAGTCAGGACCGCAAAATGTGGACGAACCCGATTAAGATGGATGTCAGTAGTTAGTAAGGACCTTGAGGACAATGGCAACATAGCCGGCAGCGGTCCAGAATAGCAGAAAAGACACCACTGGAGACAGATTAGGAGACCCGGCCCCAAATGAAAGTGTGATAAGGCTTTACAATAAGGTTACGTATCAGAATAATATATAGGCGATAAATTTGACGTGGGCACAGCTAGTGACACATAAAAGAAATTGTACAAAAATTAAGTTTAGAGTGTTGCATTTTATATATTACTAACTTTTGCCCGCGGCTTCGCTCCCCTTAATTTATCCCCTTAGGGGTGAAATTTATCAAAATTCTTTCTTAAGAGATGCCTACGTTATAGTAGCTTTATGCATGCAAAGTCTCAGCCCGATCGGTTTAAAATTGACAAAGTTTTATATAAACTTTCATTCCGTATTTTATCCCTTTGGGGGTAGAATTAATCAAAATCCTTTCTTAGCGGATGACTATGTCATAACATCTACCTGCATGCCAAATTTCAGCCCGATCGTCCAGTGGTTTGGGCTGTGCGTTGATAGATCACTACGTCAGTCACCTTTGAGTTATATATATTTAGACCAGCTACTCGCCCCGGCTTTGCACGAGTGTACATGTATTGTATCTACATATAAACTCTTACTCTTGAATTACTCTATCTATTAAAAAAAAACGGTTCCAAATCCGTTGCGTAGTTTTAAAGATTTAAGCACTCATAGGGGCGGACAGACAGCGACAGCGACTTTATTTTATACTATGTAATGATGTGATAGACTCGACCAATTGGCTCTACGGCGAGATACTGCATCTCTGTGCATTTCCTACCGCATATATCACGGGGAGTATTCTGAGGAATTGTTCGGATTAATACCAGCTGCTGAGTTTCACCACCGGAGGGTGGTACCCGCCAGAAACTAAAATACCATCCTGATCATCTTAATGAATGGCGGTCTTCCACAGTGCGGTTTTCTAGAAACTTTTTGCCACATGATGATGACATATTTACGAAAAAAATATATCTACGTACATGTATCAGTTATCTAGTGCCCATAACACAAGCTTTAGCTAGCTTAACTTGGGTCTAGATGGCGCTGTGTGAATTGTCCTGAGATTATTATTATTATACTAGCTGTCCCGGCAAACGTTGTTTTGCCTTAAAATAAAAACAAAATTAGGGGTGGACTACCCCTAACATTTAGGAGGATGAAAAATAGATGTTGGCCGATTCTCAGACCTACTCAATACGCTCACAAAATTTCATGAGAATCGGTCTAGCCGTTTCGGAGGAGTATGGGACCGAAAACTGAATGACACGAGAATTTTATATATAAGATTATCTTTCATGAAAAGATGATCTGCGTTAGGAATGTGTACGCATTTCAATATATTTTGAATTGTAGAACAAACTTATCGTTTATTTTGTACAATTAATGGTAAAACTGTCGCAACCCTAACGTTATATATACGTTTTTTTTCATCCCTTTCTATTGAGGGTGGCTGGCGTTTTTTTTTCATTTGTGGGGCTGTTTTAGGTTCGTATTAATGAACAGGTCTGTTTGCGTTGTTTTTTCTCTACCCTCTTTGCACGTTGCGTTTGATTACGTACTAGGTATTTGTAATAGGTTCGATGCCAAAAAAAAATATTATAGGTACAGGAAGGTTTTTTTCTCTAACGATAGAATTAAATTTGAATGAAGTAATAATTTTTAAACTTTCGTGTTTAATATACATTATTTAAATTATTAACTGGGTCTTAAAATAAATAATTTTATGGCAAATAAAGGTATTTACTTCTCTAGACGTTTCGACTAGGTAGCCATGGTGACGGTAGATGAAAAACTGCTGTCTGCTGTATTTACGATTGGTTTTTTTTATGGATTATAATGGAGTGGTGCACCCGCCTGCGCTAACGGTTTACGCTGGCGGGGCACCAGTGGAGGATGATACGATGAGCATGAGGTCAGGTCAGTTAACCCGTCGTGATAAATAAAGGTATTTACCTTTCTAGACGTTTCGACTAGGTTGCACTAGCCGTGGTCACGAGCTGACTGGAGTGTGCGGATACCGTAAATGCTGTGTGTCGCGAACTTTCGTTGAACAATCTAGTGACGGTAGATGAAAAAACTGCTGTCATCTATCTACATTGACATCGCTGTTACTCCAGTCAGCTCGTGACCACGGATACTGCAACCTAGTTGAAACATCGAGAGAGGTAAATACCTTTATTTGCCATAAAATTATTCGTGTTAAGACCCGGTTAATCATTTAAATAAATTAAGTAATTATTTTATTCATTCATTTCATTCATTCATTTGTGTGTATGTTGTGTCCAATGTTGCAAGCAGGTCTTACAATATTGTGTATTAAATCCAATATATTCAGCCTGCATACAGACAGACATGCAAAATTTATATACATTATTACGCAGAAGAACCAGTGTGACCGACATAGCCCGAAGAATTGCGAAACTGAAGTGGCAATGGGCAGGGCACATAGCTCGTAGGACAGATGGCCGTTGGGGCAGTAAAGTCCTCGAGTGGCGACCATGGACCGGAAGACGCAGCGTGGGAAGGCCTCCAGCAAGGTGGACCGACGATCTGGTCAAGATCGCTGGACGGCATTGGATGCGAGCAGCGCAGGACCGATCGTCGTGGAGATCTTTGGAGGAGGCCTGTCCAGCAGTGGACGTCTTCCGGGCTGAGATGATGATGATGTTTACTTTTGATTTACTTTTCAATGATGTTTTAATAATTGAATTAAAATTTATCTGACTGTTAAATTAATTTGTTTGTTTATTAAAATATCTTTAACAAATATAATTCTAAATTCTAAATATAATTGCTTTAGCACATCACTTCACTATCCGATGGTCGCGGGTTCGATTCCTCGCACGGTACAAACATTTGTATTCATGAGTATGATTGTTTGTATCAGTCTGGGTGTTTTCTATGTATAATATGTATTTATTTACAAAAAAAATGTATCCATGTATTTATATCAGTTGTCTAGTACCCATAACACAAGCTCTGCTTAGCTTGGGACTAGATGGCGCTGTGTGAATTGTACTGAAATAAAAAAAAAAGCGTTTTTGAAATGATTTTGAAAGTTTATTTTCTTTTTTCAGATAAAAGCGACTATTAGAAGACAACAACGACGTCTGAGGGAGCAATGGTAAGTCATAAGTACTAATTTATGCCTAACGCATTCAACTGCAGAAAGTGTTATTTGATAGTGTATGTACATAGGTAAACCACTCTTGCTTTATAATTTACTAGTGTTAGGGTTCGCATGGATATTTTCGAAAAATCTGATATTTTATATTAAAAGAAGGTAGTTTCATTATTACTCGGTATCGTTAAACTAGTTGCATATAACCCCCACTCATATCTTCTCTGTATAAAAGGGAGGGTTTTTGTAGGCCGCGGCATTCGGTCTTTGCGCACAGGATGTGCTGGTTGTATTTTAATTGCTAAAGTGAATTGTGTTAGAGACATAGTTAAATTAATGTTATATAGTTGTTATTTTATTATAATACATACTTTTACTAGTACATAGAGTTGATATATCTAACACTAGCTACTTGCCCCGGCTTCGCACGGGTGTAAATGTATTATTAGGGTATACCTATATAAACCTTTCTCTAGAATAACTCTATCTATTAAAAAAAACCGCTTCAAAATCCGTTGCGTAGTTTTAAAGATTTAAGCATATATAGGGACAGACAACGACAGCGACTTTATTTTATACTATGTAATGGTGATAATATAACATACTAGCTGTGACCGGGATTTTACTCACGTGAAATTTATAGCGTATGTGTTATTCTGATATATAAGCTATATAATTGAAAAATTTCGTTAAAATCCATTCAGTCTTTACGTGAAAGAATAACAAATGTCCATACTCACAAACTTTCGCGTTTGTAAAATCAGTTATGTGTTTTTAAGATGTCAAAGAAATCGAGAGGTTCGAGTCTACCTTACGTATCTGAAAGTCGTCCAATAGAGCTTCAAAATTAAGGTCAAAATAAGTTATTAATTTGACACAGAGTTCCACAACGTTTAGAGTCAAAAGAGACTAGCCATTACATTTAACAATTATTTTTATGAGGTTTTAAAGTGTCATAATTTTTTCTCTTAATAGAAAGAAAAGAAAAATATGTCTTATACAAAAGTAAAAAAAAAACTATAATTTATTAATTCATAAGAAAATTATGTATGAAATCTATACATACGAATAAAATTGAAGTATCTGTTTGTAATATTGAAATAACCGTTTTTACTACATCCATATGGATATAAATACGGTACATACACCAAAAAAACACTTTTTACAATTTTTGTATGTCAGTCTGTCGGTCGGTTTGTTCCGGCTAATCACTGAAATGGCTGGACCGATTTTAACGAGACTGTTATTGGCAGGTAGTTGATGTAATAAGGAGTAACTTAGTTACTTTTATTTTACAAAAATGAAGTTAAATATATATATATATATGGCGTTTTTTCAACAAATTAAATAATATATACTAAGTGGATACAGAAGTTTGTGAGTTTGAATGGATGGATGGATGGATATCTGTTGTTCTTTCACGCAAAAACTACTAAACGGGTTTTAATGAAAGTTTCCAATAATACATCACAATAACATATAACGTAGGCTATAGATTTCAAGCGGCCGAAACCGCGGCCATAGCTAGTATTAGTGATATGTGGTCGTGTATTATTTTTTCAGTCGTATTATCACTATATTTAGAACGAAATTACTATGCGCGCATGCGCTGCCGGGTAGAGGGTAACGACCTACCTTTTGACAAGGCGAGGTCATCACCGTGATTATAAAATTTCACGGCACGCTTTTAATTGTGTCATTCTTTTACTGACTGACTGACTGACTGACTGACTGACTGAAGACAGAAACGGTAATGATTTTCTGGCACTTTACTTTTACTAGCTACTCGCCCCGGCTTCGCACGTGTGTACTGTGTACATCGGACTAAACAACGGCGCGCCGTTTAGTCCGATGGTCGCGGATTCGATTCCTTGTACAATACAAGCATTGGTTAAACCATGAGTGTTTTGTATTGGTCTGGTTGTTTTGTAAAGTTATATATTTATGAAAAATGCATATGTAAGTATTTATATTTTTTTTTACCTACAGCAATGATATTTCCGAACCGATACGATATAGAAACCTTCAAGAAAAGAGCTTATTCCTTGTTAAAAGGCCGACAACGTACTTGCAATTCCCCTGGTGTTGCGGATGCTCATGGGCGGCGGTAATCACTTACCATCAGGTGAGCCGCATGCTCGTTTGTCCCCTGTGTTATTTAAAAAAAAACCCTATACGAAGATGTTATTTTGCGGAAGTAATTGAGCATTAAATATTTGTATTTTGTATCACATCTCATCAACTTAGCTTGGGACTAGATGGCGCTGTGTGAATTGTCCTGATGTTATTATTAGGTATATCAGTACGGCTGTGGTATAAAAAATCAATAGGTATTAGTAAATTAGTTATCTATACATATAAATAAAATTGGAGTGTCTGTTTGTAATATTGAAATAACCGTTTTTTACTACATGCATATGAATATAAATACGGTACATACACCAAAATAACGTTTTTTACAATTTTTGTCTGTCTGTCTGTTCCGGTTAATCTCTGAAATGGCTGGACCGATTTTGACGGGACTTTCTATACATACCTATAAATAAAATTGTAGTGTCTGTTTTTAATATTGAAATATTTACTACATGCCTATGAATATAAACGGTACATACACCAAAATAACATTTTTTACAATTTATCTATCCGTTTGTTTGTTCCAATTACAATTTTTGTCTATCTGTCTGTTCCGGTTAATCTCTGAAACGGCTGGACCGATTTTGCCGGGACTTTCATTGGCAGGTAGCTCATGTAATAAGGAGTAACTTAGGCTACTTTTATTTTAGAAGAATAAAGTTAAAATAGCCGTGTATAGCTAGTTCTAAATATGAATATAGAAATTATCTAATCCCACTGACCTACTTGGCTGGTTCAGTGTTCGGTCGCAGGCGTGTTGTCTCCGTAACAGCTGATAACACTATCAGGGATGCTGTATCTATTAATTAGTTTGATTGTAATTATACTAAATGGTTGTAAAACTTATCTAAACGGTTCCATCTTTGTTTTATGACTACATGTGGTGGTGAGAGCTGGTAGCTTATTTTCACTGTTAATAATAATAAAATACCCTGAACTTGCCTCCTAGTATACATATATACTTATTCGTGACTTCGCGTGATATTTAACAAAAAAGTTAATTTGAGAATTTTTCTAAAATGAATGTTGCTTAACTTATTCCTCAATACCTGATGTAAATAAAAGTAGCCTAAGTTACTCTTTATTACATCAGCTACCTGCCAATAAAAGTCTCGTCAAAATCGGTCTAGCCATTTCAGAGATTAGTTGGAAGAAACAGACAGACAGACAAAAATTGTTATTATTTATATTCATATTTCATATGCATATAGTGAAAAACGACGGTAGGGAAAAAAATAAAATTATAATTTAAAAAACTTGACGTTCATAAGCGGCTAAAATGTCCTACATGAATGAATGATTTTTTAATTTAAATTTGAATTTAAATACAAACCGCATAGTCAGAAAATTTCTACAAACAGATTAGGCCAATATTCATAGAATCGTAAGGTTGACCTCCACACGGTCCACCCTTGGTAATTAACGTGGTCAACACATGGTTAATTTTATTCATTCTTACATGGATGCATCCTCCTAAGGCAACTAACATGGCGACGGCAAAAGTTGTATAATTTAGTTATTTCCATAGCATTATGTCGTATGGGGTAAAGCTATAGTGCTGTTTGCAGATGATACTTCGTTAGTGTTTAAAATTGGACGTCAAACTAATCAATTAGACGATGTAAATTGTGCTGTGTCTGCAATATTAAATTGGTTTACATGTAATAACCTATTATTAAATTCCAGCAAAACAAAGTGTATAAAATTTATACTTCCTAATGTAAGACTAATAAATACACAGTTATTGCTTAATGACGAAATAGTAAATTTTGTTAATGATACAGTTTTTTTAGGTATAACAGTGGACTCGAAATTACAATGGGGGCCCCATATTTCAAAATTGGCCAGTAGACTCAGTTCTGCTGCATATACAATTAGAAGAATTAGGCAATTAACAGACGTGGCGACGGCTAAACTTGTATACTCTAATTATTTCCATAGCATAATGTCTTATGGCATACTGCTGTGGGGTAAAGCTGCCGATGTAAATACTATATTTATTTATTATACAAAAGACAGCCATACGTTCTATTTATGGTATGGGTTCGAGAATAGAATAGAATAGAAAATCATTTATTCAAATAAACTTACATAGGAAGCACTTTTGAATAGTCATTACATTTTTTTAATCTACCGCTCATTCGGAAAGCTGTCTCGTCACAAGAAGAGCGAGCAAGAAACTTGCGGGTTGCTCTTTTAAATAATTTTATTCTTACTTTACATTTTTAAGTTTAAGTGTGTGAATACAAACCACCAATTAGCACTAATTCAATTAAATACTCAAATAGAAAAAATATTGAATATATAACCAACAATTTAAACAATTAATAAGAGGAAATCAGTCGTAGTGATTAGAGCAGACCAGTCCCTACAAGCAACACCTGTTCACGAGTATGACGGATGAGCCAGACATCACTTCGCTCGACCATATTTTAGGGAGCCCAATGACCCGGCCGATCACGCCGCCACAAGTCTGGACATTTTAGTGGAGACCACGTCAAAAAAGACCACGTACTTACAATTGCCATCTGATAGTTATAGTATTCACATTTCACATAAGAATGCATGCGGCAATCAATACAAAAACCGCTACGCTTTCATATTTCTAAAATAATTAAATCAAGAAAGCAATGAGATAAATAAATTATAACGTTGTATGCTGAGAGAGTAATTACATCAATGCTTTAAACAATCAAATATCCTCACCGTTGCTTCACAGTACATTTATGAAAATATTATGTATACAAGGAAAAACTTAGATAGTTTCAAGAAACTAAAGACTGTACAAGTAGAAACTTACGCAATAAAAATAAGTTAATTTTACCTAATACTTCTGCCCGGCTTTGTTGCTGTGGTCACCGTATGCTTCG